TCTGTTCACTGTTTCCATGGAAGAGCCAAGTCAGAATTCCTTTACCTGTCATTGGCTAAAAGTATGTTTAAATATTGGTGTCTTGTCTGCTAATATCGAAATCTTTACTTGCATAAACACTTTCCTTTTGCTCTTTACATATTTTTCAAAAATATTTGCGGATAGTGTTAGACCCTGAAGACCAGGGACTTCACACAGCAAGAAAAGAGCTGAGACTATTGTAACATTTGTAATTTTACACAGAATTTTGACAGTTGCAGTTGTAGCTTCTTAAATAATGCATATGTGGCATCTCTTCAGATAATATATATGCCCCTTGATGTAGAAGAGTGTCTCCACTATATGTATGCCTCTATGCCCCTTGATGTAGAAGATTGTCTCCACTATATGTATGCCTCTATGCCCCTTTGATGTAGATGATTGTCTCCACTATATGTATGCCTCTATGCCCCTTTGATGTAGAAGAGTGTCTCCACTATATGTATGCCTCTATGCCCCTTGATGTAGAAGATTGTCTCCACTATATGTATGCCTCTATGCCCCTTTGATGTAGATGATTGTCTGCACTATATGTATGCCTCTATGCCCCTTGATGTAGAAGAGTGTCTCCACTATATGTATGCCTCTATGCCCCTTGATGTAGATGATTGTCTCCACTATATGTATGCCTCTATGCCCCTTGATGTAGAAGATTGTCTCCACTATATGTATGCCTCTATGCCCCTTGCTGTCGATGATTGTCTCCACTATATGTATGCCTCTATGCCCCTTGATGTAGATGATTGTCTCCACTATATGTATGCCTCTATGCCCCTTGATGTAGAAGATTGTCTCCACTATATGTATGCCTCTATGCCCTTGATGTAGATGTAGATGATTGTCTGCACTATATGTATGCCTCTATGCCCCTTGATGTAGAAGAGTGTCTCCACTATATGTATGACACTATGCCCCTTGATGTAGTAGAAGATTGTCTCCACTATATGTATGCCTCTATGCCCCTTGATGTAGAAGACCATATGTATGCCTCTATATGTAGAAGATTGTCTCCACTTGCCTGCCTCTATGCCCCTTGATGTAGAAGAGTATGTCTCCACTACTATATGTATGCCTCTATGCCCCTTTGTAGATGTCTCCACTATATGTATGAAGAGATTGTCTCCACTATATGTATGCCTATATGCCCCTTGATGTAGAAGAGTGTCTCCACCATATGTATGCCTCTATGCCCTTGATTGATGTAGAAGAGTGTCTCCACCCTCTATATGTATGCCTCTATGCCCCTTTGATGTAGAAGATTGTCTCCACTATATTTATGCCTCTATGCCCCTTGATGTAGAAGATTGTCTCCACTATATGTATGCCTCTATGCCCCTTGATGTAGAAGAGTGTCTCCACTATATGTATGCCTCTATGCCCTTTGATGTAGAAGATTGTCTCCACTATATGTATGCCTCTATGCCCCTTGATGATGTAGATGATTGTCTGCACTATATGTATGCCTCTATGCCCCCTTGATGTAGAAGATTGTCTCCACTATATGTATGCCTCTATGCCCCTTGATGTAGAAGAGTGTCTCCACCATATGTATGCCCTCAATGCCCCTTGATGTAGATGATTGTCTCCACTATATGTATGCCTCTATGCCCCTTGATGTAGAAGAGTGTCTCCACCATATGTATGCCTCTATGCCCCTTGATGTAGATGATTGTCTCCACTATATGTATGCCTCAATGCCCCCTTGATGTAGATGATTGTCTCCACTATATGTATGCCTCTATGCCCCTTTGATGTAGATGATTGTCTCCACTATATGTATGCCTCTATGCCCCTTTGATGTAGATGATTGTCTGCACTATATGTATGCCTCTATGCCCCTTGATGTAGAAGATTGTCTCCACGATATGTATGCCTCTATGCCCCTTGATGTAGATGATTGTATCCACTATATGTATGCCTCTATGCTCCTTTGATGTAGAAGAGTGTCTCCACTAAATGTATGCCTCTATGCTCCTTGATGTGTAGATGATTGTCTCCACTATATGTATGCCTCTATGCCCCTTTGATGTAGAAGATTGTCTCCACTAAATGGAAGCCTCTATGCCCCTTTGATGTAAAAGAGTGTCTCCACTATATGTATGCCTATATGCCCCTTGATGTAGAAGAGTGTCTCCACTATATGTATGCCTCTATGCCCTCTTGATGTAGAAGATTGTCCACTCCACTATATGTATGCCTCTATGCCCCTTGATGTAGAAGATTGTCTCCACTATATGTATGCCTCTATGCCCCTTGATGATGTAGAAGAGCCTCTATGTCTCCACCATATGTATGCCTCTATGCCCCTTGATGTAGATGATTGTCTCCACTATATGTATGCCTCAATGCCCCTTTGATGTAGAAGAGTGTCTCCACCATATGTATGCCTCTATGCCCCTTGATGTAGAAGAGTGTCTCCACTATATGTATGCCTCTATGCCCTTGATGTCGATGATTGTCTCCACTATATGTATGCCTCTATGCCCCTTGCTGTGTATGCCTCTATGATTGATCTCCCACTATATGTATGCCTACTATACTGAACAGAAGATGTCAGTATGAATATTTTAGGGAAGTTATCACATAAACCATTCAGTATCCCTTTACGCCTTTGTTCCTGTATGCCTAGGTCTGCCACAATATGTATACTGTGTGTGTATTTGCCATGGACTTTGGATGTGTGTTTGTGTTGCCAGGACGACCTGGACTGGTTGATTATCGATGGCAACCAGAGATCAGTTGTTGTGCCCTTTACAAACCAAGCTGGTATCATCTTTGCTGTTTCCATGACAACAGATGAGGGATTGAGCAGCAAGCTGATGTGGAGTTCCTGTTCCTATAATGTCGGCAAAAGTATGTGTGCCAGGATTGCTGGAACGTTTTCTGAGACTTAACCAATGATGTGTTATAGACAATCAAATATACAAAAGTATATGAAATATACGAAACCGATGTTATTGGCCCTTCACTGTACAAACATATTATATCATCGACTATACCCAACCCATTGACCATGGACTATACCCAACCTATTGACCATGGACTATACCCAACCTATTGACCATGGACTATACCCAACCTATTGACCATGGACTATACCCAACCTATTGACCATGGACTATACCCAACCTATTGACCATGGACTATACCCAACCTATTGACCATGGACTATACCCAACCTATTGACCATGGACTATACTCACACTGTTGACCTTCAACTATACCCAACCTATTGACCATGGACTATACTCACACTGTTGACCTTCAACTATACCCAACCTATTGACCATGGACTACAACTCCCAAACCTGTTGACCATTCAACTATACCTTCAACTATACAACCTATTGACCATGGACTATACTCACACTATTGACCTTCAACTATACCCAACCTATTGACCATAGACTATACTCACACTGTTGACCTTCAGCTATACCCCAACCTATTGACCATGGACTATACTCACACAATTGTTGACCTTCAACTATACTGAAACTATTGACCTTCAACTATACTCAACCCTATTGACCATGGACTATACTCACACTGTTGACCTTCAACTATACTGGAAACTATTGACCTTCAACTGTACTCAACCTATTGACCATGGACTATACTCACACTGTTGACCTTCAACTATACTCAAACTATTGACCATGGACTATACTCAAGGTTTTGACTATCGACTATACGCAAGGTTTTGACCAGAGCTGATCTTCAGCAACCCATGCTTGTCATAAGAGGCTACTGATGGAATCAGTGGTCAGGCTCGATGATTTTGTTGACACATGTCATAGTATCCTGATTGTATAGATTGATGCTCATGATGTCAATCACTAGGTCGTCTGGTTCAGACTATTTACAGACCACTGTCATACAGCTGGAGTATTGTGTAGTGTTACCTGGAGTATTGTGTAGTGGTACCTGGAGTATTGTGTAGTGTTACCTGGAGTATTGTGTAGTGTTACCTGGAGTATTGTGTAGTGTTACCTGGAGTATTGTGTAGTGTTACCTGGAGTATTGTTACTTGGAGTATTGTGTAGTGTTACCTGGAGTATTGTGTAGTGTTACCTGGAGTATTGTGTAGTGCTACCTGGAGTATTGTGTAGTGTTACCTGGAGTATTGTGTAGTGTTACCTGGAGTATTGTGTAGTGCTACCTGGAGTATTGTGTAGTGTTACCTGGAGTATTGTGTAGTGTTACCTGGAGTATTGTGTAGTGTTACCTGGAGTATTGTGTAGTGTTACCTGGAGTATTGTGTAGTGTTACCTGGAGTATTGTGTAGTGTTACCTGGAGTATTGTGTAGTGTTACCTGAGTATTGTGTAGTGTTACCTGGAGTATTGTGTAGTGTTACCTGGAGCATTGTGTACCTGGAGTATTGTGTAGTGTTACCTGGAGTATTGTGTAGTGTTACCTGGAGCATTGTGTAGTGGTACCTGGAGTATTGTGTAGTGTTACCTGGGTATTGTGTAGTGTTACCTGGAGCATTGTGTAGTGTTACCTGAGTATTGTGTAGTGTTACCTGGAGTATTGTGTAGTGCTACCTGGAGTATTGTTACCTGGAGTATTGTGTAGTGTTACCTGGAGTATTGTTACCTGGAGTATTGTGTAGTGTTACCTGAGTATTGTGTAGTGTTACCTGGAGTATTGTGTAGTGCTACCTGGAGTATTGTGTAGTGTTACCTGGGTATTGTGTAGTGTTACCTGAGTATTGTGTAGTGTTACCTGGAGTATTGTGTAGTGTTACCAACAAACAAACATCACAGTTAGATGGGTGTAAATGTTCCAGTGCAGCACTCACTGAACCCTGTGACTGCTTATAGCATCGTTAGTCAGCCCTGTTGATGATGTAGACACAGTGATAGTTCCTTTCTTGATATCTGTACCGTTTAGTCCCAGAGAACAAGCCGAGTGTTCCGATCCAGTCAACACCGAGGCCTGCCCTCGGCCTGACCGTGGATGTGGCTACCCGATGTGTGTCCTGAACAGACCCTCATCACCCACTACGTCATCGAAAGCACTGCATCAACAACTACACCGCTGCAGTGAGTCTATCATCCATACTTAGTACATGTGTGCCGATACAGCAGCACAGTGTTGTATCACGATACGCTGACTATCAATATAGTACCATATATGACTGTCTATAAGACGACCCCATGGATAAGACGACGACCCCCAAACTTGACCCTTAAAATCAGTGTCAAAATGATATGTTTCATGCATAAGTCGCGGTCTGTCGGCAAACACAGACCACAGACAACTGGCAGTTACCAATAATTTTAACTTTGGCCCACATTATTCAAAGAATTCACAATCGTATATATTAGCGCCTACTCACGGATCGAAGCGAAGTGTAGTTGACAGAAAATGCATAATATATTTTGTTTCTCTAAATATCATATGTATTGTAGCAACAAACTGGCTTGCTTATTTTACCCCATTCAACAATCACGAACTGATTACCGCCTCCTTTTCCATTGACTGCTAGTTTACAGTAACATCGGTAAAATGTGTGAATTTAAATGGCTTCCGTATTTTACCCCATTCCATGTGCGTACAAATTCTGCTTACCACGTTCATGAGGGTCCGTATAACCTTAGTGTTGATTATATATATTTTACATAAAAACTGTAATTAAAATTACACAATGCTAGGTTATATTTCTTTGGGTTAAATAATAGTACTCTGTATTATAATTTACTGACGACTGCGTCAGAATTCGTCCCGTTATATTTTTGTGCATGTTTGAACTTGTTCGCTGCTGATTGCTATTTCCGGCTTAAATACACACGGTAATCTTAATCTTAATTTATTATAGAGCAAAAACTGTAATTAAAATGACACAATGCTAGGATATATTTCTTTGGGTTAAATAATAGTATTCTGTATTATATTTTACTGATGACTGCGTCAGAATTCGTCCCGTTATATTATTGTGCATGTTTGAACTTGATCGCCGGGAAACATGTGCACAGCTGATTGCTATTTCCGGTACACACGGTAATCTTAATCCCTGCAAATAATACAATGCCCAGCAAAAACAATTTAGAACTTAAAAGGTAAATAATCTTGTCTAGTGATGTTAATTGCAAATTTGACGTCTCTACTGACAAAGTCGCCTTCTGTTGTTTGTTCACGCTAAGTGATACGATGTTGTTTTCTTACCCTGGAAAAAATTTTGACGAAAAGCGTAACCCATGGATAAGACGCACCCCTTCTACAGACTGCTTTTTTGGTCCTCAAAATTCGGCTTATAGGTACATCAGTTGACCACCTCGATCTGTATCGTACCCGTGAAGGTCCGGGTTAGAATGAACCTTCAGTAACCCATGCTTGTTGTAAGAGGCAACTAACGGGATCGGGTGGTCAGGCTTGCTGGCTTGGTTGATACATGTCATGCTGTGTCAACTGGATTGTCTGGTCCAGACTTGATTATTTACAGACCGCCGCCATATAGCTGGAATAGTGCAGCGTAAATCTAAACTCACTCACTCACTCACCTCTGTATCACAATACACACGTTTCATCATATTCTGATCTAAACAAATATCAAAAGCAGCAGTCTGAGAACCAGTTTATGCTGATTCACTAATACTTCCTGGTGGGCTGCACACAGCAGGCTCTGCACAGTGTCGCCATGCTGATATCTATCTCTCCTACAATCTCCCATCTTTCATGTCGGAAATTTGAATACAAATGATTCAGGGCGGTATTGTACCTGCAAAAAGAGTGAATGTGAACTCATAAAATACAAGCATTGGGACAAGAAATGTTTTAATGTTTGGTCATATTGGTCTGAAGATAAACTTAAGAAAAACTAAAAAGTAAGTGGCAGTCTGTTAGTTTTTTGTTTTTTGCTCTCTTCGTGACTATATCGAGTTAAGTCTTGCCCATTATATTATTTATGAATACAATAGTAAAACATGAATGCAGTAGTTATTTATGAATATGATTATTATACTTTTATACAACAGTTATACATTATTACACTTGTAGTTCATGAATACAATAGTAATAGGACAGTGGGGTAGCCTTGTGGTTAAAGCGTTCGCTTGTCGGTTCGATTCCACACATGGTTACAATGTGTGAAGTCCTTTCCTGGTGTTCCCTGCCATGATATTGCTGGAATATTGCTAAAAGGGGTGTAAAACTAAACACTCACTCACTCAATAGTAATAGATGAATACAATATTATACATGATTACAATAGTAATACCTGAATACAATAGTTACACATGAATACAATATGCATGAATACAATAGAAATCATGAGTACAATAGACATGCTTGAGTATAATAGTACAGCATCACACTACGGTCAACAGTGACTTCAGCTATAGATGTTGCCCCACATCACAGATATGGAATGTTTTTTCTTTGCCCTGAGTCAGTTCCTTGTTGGCTTCACAAGTCGGGATTATAAACGTCATATCCTGGTATTGATGGAATGATATGGATTGAAATGTTTTCAAGCAAAATATTGTTAAATAGAAATGACTTGTGTTAGATTTAAAATTTGATCCCCCAGCTAACGCAATATCCATACTTGGCCGATACAGGACAAGATGATGTCATACGGTAATTAATATGTTGTAAAGCTCTATGCATTGTGATTTGTGATGTAACGTAATTGTCTTGTGACAGCGACCAGTACAGTCCCCAGTGATCGTAGGAGGTTGGTCATCGAGAATCTGAAGGAAGGAATCAACTACAGTGTGAGACTGAAACCTGTAGCGGATGCCGGGGCCGGACCGGCAAGTGACCCTGTGTATGCAGTGCCCCTTGACCCGAGTAAGTAACAGACCTGTGACCATTTGTGTGAGTTGTGAGTGAGTGAGTTTAGTTTTATGCCACACTCAGCAATACTCCAGCTATATGGCGGCAGTCTGTAAATAATCGAGTCTGAACCAGACAATCCAGTGATCAACAGCATGAACATCTTTCTACGCAATTAGGATACGCTTTTTCAATCAAGTCAGCCACCCAATCCCGTTATTCGCCTCTTACGACAAGCATGGGTTACTGAAGAACAATTCTAACCCGGATCTTCACGGGTTTCTGTGAGTTGTGTTAACAGACATGGATGTATGGTCTAACCATTGTTAAATCAAGTGTGAGCATTGGTTGGGTCATACGTCAGTCATACACACTTGTTGTATGCTTCACGGAAGTAATGAGTCTTTAGCTGTGATTTGAATGAGTCCAGGTCGTGGTTAGATCTCAGGTGTTGTGGGAGTTGATTCCACAAGTTTGGTTCGGCAATTTGAAAACAACGGCTGGTGATGCGACTGGTTTTTAGTGCAGGTGGCTGAAGGAGAAACTGGTGGGAGGATCGAAGGGATCTGACAGGTTGATATCTGGTTATCATGCTGGAGAGATACTGAGGGGCTTGATTGTGGAGACACTTGAAGACAAGCAAGACAACTTTGTATTTGATCCGCTGTGGCACTGGCAACCAGTGTAGATTTTGGAGAATTGGTGTGATGTGATCATGTCTCGCTGTTCTTGTTGCGACTCGGGCTGCTGAGTTTTGTACAACTTGTAACTTCCTGATCAGACATGATGGCAAACCTTGCAGGAGTGAGTTACAGTAGTCAATGCATGACAACACACAGGCATGGACCAAGGAGATGGCGGTTCTTTGTTCATGTACTTTCGCATTACCAAGGCAATGTTGCGGATATGAAAATAAGATTTCCTGCAGACAGAGTTTATGTGAGACTCAAGTGGCATGTTTGCATCGAAAATGACACCGAGATTTCGCGACTTGTTTGATTTGGCTGATCTTATGGTTGCCGATGTGGAAATCTGGCAATACAATGTCGTTGACACATAATGTTTGGGCATTATGATAAGAAACTTCGGTTTTGTCTCCATTCAGCTTTAGATAATGGGATGTCATCCATTCTTTTATCTCGTCAATGCATGTTTCCAGCACTGTGAAGGTGACAGAAATGGATGCTTTCACCGACGGTTTGAATGCCATGTATAGCTGAGTGTCGCTCTGCGTATAGATGGAGCGAGAGTCCACGTGATCGCGCGATGTCACCGATTGGTGAAGTGTAGATGGTGATCAGAATGGGCCCCAACACTTAGCCCAGCGGCACACCATACAGCAAATCTGATGAGTCAGTGGTGAAGTGTAGATTGTGAACAGAATGGGCCCCAACACTGAGCCTTGTGGCACACCATACAGCAAATCTGATGAGTCAGTGGTGAAGTGTAGATGGTGAACAGAATGGGTCCCAACACTGAGCCTCCGCCTATGCTACCTCCAGTGGACAGGCGTGCAGTCACATACTATGAGATATTACCCTGGTTGTGGTGCAGGGCGGCATTGTACAGTTGGCCAGCCTGGGGTCACAGTTGTCTGGAGCTCAGCTCGTTAATCCGGATACTGTCCGGGCGGACCATATGCTAGTTTCATACACAGAGCTGGCCAGCTAGCAGTGCTGAGAGAGGTAAGTTAATTATTTATTTGTTCTTGGCCGAAAATTCCAGGTTGTTTTATAGCTTTGTTTGTTTGTTATAGTTTCTCGGTCCCTCCTGAGAATAATATGGTGATATTATTCTATGCACAACCTAATAGTGTAACACTCAGCCTCGCCCCACACTTTTAAAATCATTGGGGAACCAATTATTTAGGCGATGAAATGTCTGCCTAGAGAGGATGTCCCATGCGTTGTGATTTCAGTTCCTGGTTTAATAGTCCAATTCTGTTCACCCAAAATATACGATATATAGTTCCCATTACCAACATAGTATCATGTATAGTCAGAGCTGTGACCTGGGTTATCGGGCTTCGTCGTGGAGGCAACAATTGTAGGCGCAATGCTCATGGACGTTACAATCAACATAACAACACACACATACACTGGTATTGTTGTTTTGTTATACAAGGAGCAGGTCGACAGATTGCCTCCCTTCCAGGATCCGCTGACAGGGGAAGGGTCCCAGCGCTATAATGATGACACAGTTACACACATGCTGAATATTTACACACAAACTGAGTCCGAGGGATTCCAAGACGCAGAACCGCCGATCACTTGGCTCAGTTGTGATTGGCCTACCACAGCTCGTGAGGGCACTGTTACCGATAACAAGCAAAGTAACACACAGTGGAGGAATTTACATTTCAAAAGATAGGTCCATTAGACTTTAGGGCGTTATAGGGCTACCGCAGGCCGCCAGGCCTACTTTCACCAGGGCTGCAAAGCACCTTAGAGTTTTATAACGCTAGATACATCTTCATACACACATTAGGATGCTAGTAATATGTACACACCAAGAATAAGTCCGAAGGTTTTGGAAAGCATGAGAGTCAAGCAACACTTGGCTTATTTCGGTCGGGCCCCTTCTAGCACGCAGGGTCCTTTTTAACATCAGTATCATGTTCATCTCGTAGTAACCTGTGGCTGCCATCCGCTCGTCCCTGGATGGATGTCCTTATTGCCCCGTGGAGAGAGAGGAGTCGAGTCCAGGATAGAGATGACGGGATAACCGGGCGCCATGTAGACCGAACGCCGGGGGTCCTCTGCTTTCTCCCATCCGGTAGGAGTGGCAGAGACGCTACTCGCTGTCTGAAAGTGTTACTCGCACCTTCCGCGGTTGACCGGGTACCATCTCCATATCGGATGTAGCGTCGGGTTGTGTTCTACCACCTACTAGTTTGGCAAGCCAGGTTCGAGAAATTTCTATACATTACTATTCCCCTAGTATTGCTCACGATAATCACTATTACTGCCAGAAAAATATTCCCAATGTGTTACAGGCCCTGTAATCCATCTCATCGACCATAGTGGTATCTATATCCCGTAACTGTTGTACCCACCAGGTGGTTCATAGGAATGTATTTAACGTCCCTTAAGCGGCGCAGGCACTTTAGCCATGAAAAGTCAAATTATTAAAATGTATACGCAAAGGTTCCAGCATTAGTATTTCGAGATATTAGCGCTATTGATTAAATTCTGAAAATTATCATTTACTGCATGGTACGCTTCAATGTGTGATAATAGGGTAATAACGTTAGATGATTATTGGAGGCAGAACATGTTTCATTTAATCTTATTAGGCCTAATGGGGGCTTTTACAGTGAGGGTTCTAGTTTGTCTTACATCTTCCTTACACAATACAACTGTAAATACTGAAACATCTGTACTGGCAATAGCCCATTGACCCTTGGCTATATAGGTTGCCTGTGGCAACAAGGCCTCGAGAGGTCGGACGTCTGTATCACAAAAAATAGTTTTACTTTTTGGCGCATTTTGGGCAAACAAGGCAACAACGCACAATTGACTCAAATTGATGGGGTATACCGGACTTTCTCGATAAAACAATATTTAGACATAGGGTGTGCAAGTATTGCTTTCTGATTCTTTTAGCAGTAAGTACTGGGTAATGCGTTTAGCTTTACTGATGCATCAATGTTGTTTCTAATCTATACTGGGATAACATATTGTGAACTGAATTTGTTGCCCGCTTATTGATCTCTCAAGTTAATAGTGATTGGGACGGGTAGATTGTGAACTCTGTAAATTTCGAAATGTCCATTAATATCCAAAAGGGGTACATTAACAAGGACCAATATTTTGTCGACCGTAAGAAAGAATAGTGCTCCATTTTAAATGTTTATAGTAATCCCAAAGGGCTTCAAGTTAGGCCTCGCCTGGAAGTTTGAATCACAATGGGGTAGATGTGTACTTTAACGCCGCTTCAGAATGGTCAATAATGATGTTGGGGTAATAGTACTTTGGGGACATGTGTCCTAACGATAACATATTTAGTTGTAATTGGATATGCTCTAGATAACCTGTTAGAAGATGAACAGTGTCCCTTATTTCTTGGATTGCTAATTCAATTTGAGATACTGCGGCTGTGGCCCATTCTAAATTTATGATACGATATATTTAACATATGCGCTACATTGCTTATCTCTGTCTGTCCACAGAGCCGTAATTTTCCGAGAATTTCATTTATCTTATTCCTGTTTCCAGCCATTTCTACCCGGAGGTATTTAGAATAGTGAGACTTTCGTCTACTACATGAGATAAGCCTTCTTGGTTATTTGCTAAGTTTTGAACATTTCGCTTTTATGCCAGACAATCGGGCTTCTGAAACCGTTATTCAAATAAAAACTTAAAGCTCTTCCCACAAAAGGTAACACTGATCGCTTGGGTCTGGTCAGTCGCTGATATTAAGTCAAGTAAAATTGTTACCTAATGCTGTCAGGGTATTGTTGAGACTAACTGCATCTAAGGCCTAATTTAGTAAACAAGTGAATTATTTTTGGTGCCTTGACACCCAAATGTTTCTGAATCAAATCACGTGAGAACAAAAGGTCACAGTTCCAATGTCATTACATTTTTCATGAAGGCATAGTATGGTTCTAAGTCAATTACCAAAGTAAGTGTCCACTTTGATCGTAGTCGGTGATATCATTAAGCTTTTGGAAAATCACGCTCTCATACATCATAGTACTGCTGGCTATGCCAACAATAATAGTAGGAGAACACTCATGTTGTGTTCTGCAATGAAGCATAACAACCATATGTAAAATAAACAAACAGACCATATATGATTATGCATGTTAACCTGTCTCCAGTCTTATTACGGTAAGCCCTATAATAATGCTGGCTACGGCTTTCAGAAGGGTCTTGACCTTCAGGTCTCTTTCAGACTCATTAGTCTGAACACTGTTCACCGTGGTTCACGATGTCCATTGGTTCGGCCACTAGGTGGGGCCATGTCAGATTGTTGGCCAGGAGGGTGGTCAGAGGGGTGTCAGAGTTACT